CCTAATTTTAGCCTTAATCAACTAAAACCTGCAGCATCTTCATCCTCATAAATAAACTGCCGTCAAGTTGTTTTACAAGTTAATTGCATCGATTTCTTAATCTCTTCCCTGCCTAATTTAGCATCAAAATGATTAAAAAACATAAAAAATGAACTGTGACTGCCTGCTATGTGTCTATTTGAGAAATTTCATTGCTTAAATATGATGACTGGTCCCTTGAGGATGAGGTGCAATGCTGCATTTCACGCCTATATTCTGCTTCCTGCACAGCATTTAGACGCAGTAATTGGCTTGTAATGAGCTGGGATAAAAAGCCGTGTCTGCAGCCGCAGCGCCCCGGGGGCTTATCGCTATTTTTTTCCCTTAAGTTCCTTAATTGATAAATAGGTTATTGATAATAAGAATAAGCAAGAAGGTATGTTTAAGGTAGAATCATTTAAGAGCTGCAAGATTCTCAGCTCTAGGTTTTGCAGGTCGACCTTTGGACCTTATTGTTTTAAGAACAAAACCAGCAGACCACAAACAAAACCATTACCTTATGTCTAATGGTTTGTTGGGATGAAAAAGACTTAAAAAGCGAGCAAAATAAAGGCGTTTTTTTTAGAGCAAAGTTAAGTGTCTGCATTTAATCAAACATAAACAAGATCTTTTTTCTTCTTGTTTGTAATTAAACACAAAAATCTAAAGTTAATCTTTGAAATCTTTAAATAAAAAAATAAAACAAGTGCCATAATGTGAGGAATGAATCATACTGGGGAAAATCTGCAACCAAGGCCATATGCATCACATATGTGCTGTGCAATACCCAGCAGAGGACGGGCGCTTTAATTTCCACGCCAGACGTTTTGTGTCTGTATGACAGAATGGAACAAGTTCATAAAGACACGTCTGAGAGAGCAAAGCGTTGCAGAAATGCTCTCAACTATCAGCGCTATCCCTGCAGGGCACTATGGCGAGCAGAACAGCCCTTTGTTGTCTCGCTTTCGAAATATACTTGACGCATGGCGAGAGCCGCTTCTCTGGGAAAAACGTTCAGTTTTTGACCATACTGGCAAAGCCAACTTTGCATAAAATCCTTATTATTGCCCAGTGACTAATTTCATGCTGGCTGGAACAATTGGCAGAGTACTTTTCTGGTAATTAGATGAACACAAGCAATCCTCAGTGAGTATCTGGCTGTCAAGTTCCTTTTCTGAATAAAATAGGTTTTGACATGAATTTCCCTGATTTTATGGCCCAATTTTGAGCAAGGCAGGAGGGTTAGTGATGTGAAAAGAGGACAGACTCGGTTGAAAAAGAATAAACAGTCAAACCTCTAATATAAGCTGCTAAAATCAGAATTCATTATCTGTTTTCCCTTTGTTTGCTTTTTAAATAGCTCACAGAAAATAGTCCTAACAGTGTGTGTGTGTCACCATGCAAAGGCCTTGGGTCACCCCTCATCTTCTAAGACATCGCTTCCAAAGGAGAAACTTTTTGAAATAGTCGCTTAAATTGGTCTTGAGAAATAGGCTGGAAGAATTTCAGATTTGTTTTTAATTAAAAGATGTGCTGCTTTTCTCGCTCATTTTCGTCTCTGTCCTTGTAAACCACGCATTCTTAAAGTGTTTCTGCGAACAATCTGGTGCAGCGTCTCAACAAAACACAAGTTGGAAAAAAAAATTAACATTGAGAAAAGGAGAACATTTCTTCGTATTCGGTTAGTTAATATATTTTTTTTATTTAGCTAATTTTTACAACTAAATTGACAGTTTAAATGTTGAAAAAGTTTCTGACATACTACTGGCTAATGCTTTGGCAAATAAATATATTGACAGTAGGTCTTTTGGGTAATTGTAAAGTTTTCCTATTTCATCGATGTTAAAGCCGTTACTGCAAAAGTTGGTGAAGAAGGTTGTTTGGAACCTGTATTTATTTTGGAGCAATCATATTGAGTAAATAAAAAAATGTATTCACTAATTCTTTAATCTTTCATTTCGTTGTATTTGATTCTTTTTTTATATTCTAAAATTAGCATTATAGTGAAAGTTGTCTTTTTTAAAAGGGCTCAAAGTGCTGGAGGTAAATCCCGCATATAATGGTCACTTTACATTCAGACACTACACAACTATGAATCATTTTTTTTGTATTGCTCATTATACAGAATAAACAGTTAGACAGGCTGTAATTTTACAACCATTTAAAACAGGACTTGTAAACAACTGCTGGTGAACTTAGATGAAAACAACAGTATCCAAAGAAAAACTACTAAAACACTATTGTGGAAATAGCTTAGTCCTATTGCTCCCATTGAATAATCTAGATCCAAATTTGGGTGACATTAATAATTTAAAGTGGGATTTAAAAAAGCCAGGGGATTTATTAGAAGGTCAAAAAGTGCTTATATACTTAACTGCAATTGGTATTTTATAAATTCAGCCAAAAATATTTGGAAAAGCACCTGTATTTGATCCACCTGCATTAATAATATTATTGTCACTGGAGCTACGTAAAAGTCCCATCAGCAATGGATCATTAGTTTATACCTAAAACTAATAAGTTTGCTGTGATTTACTGAATTTAGCATTAATCAGTAAAAACAATTATAATTTTCATCTCAATCACTGAGTCTGGGAGCGGCCATTTTTGCCCAAATATAGTAGCCCCTCCCTCCTG